ACCAGGAAGGATTGATGGGCTAGAGACAGGTAATTTGATATAATCTGTTCCAGGAGCATTCGTACAAATTGCTTTCAATTTCTGCTAACTTCATACACGCATTTCTACCCACTCAAATCCCGTTTGCATTGCATTTTCATTTCCACTTTCCATTCCCATAGAAAGATCAGCCACATCCTCATACCTCAATGTACATCCACAAAACCAATTCAAAAGTCTAGTCATGATTCGGGCCAAGAATTATACAGCAACCATCTACTCAAACATTGGAGGAGTATTTGCCAAGAATAACAAATCATAAGAATGTAGTGCATCTTCAGGTTCCCCGTTTTTCAATTTCTGATCGATTGGTGCCATGAATGCTACACATGGCAGTCACCGAAATAATTTTACAGTAGGAATACACTCGCCAATATCACAAGTAGCTCGATATTGTTCCATGATTTCTTCTGCGTACTATAATGTAGGTATGATTTCTGATTGGACAACAGAAATCCATCATACCGATACTCACAATAAAATTCAAAAAAAATACCCCCTTGCCCCATCATTCATACTCCATAGTGCTCATCCCACGACAAAGAAAAGATTTCAACCTTCTTTTCCTCTATTTTTCTACTACAATAACAGCATCACATACCTTTCCTTATGCAGGTTTACTTAATTACTCTGATTATCTCCATTTGACTTGTCACCTGCTACAATTATGATCTCCCACAAACTATATCCTCGAATAGCATTTTGGATAGATGTCGAGTCTACTCGTAACATTTCTTTCCACAATCTCTAAGAGCTCAAAGACTTCCATTGAGATTGATGACCGAAATTTAGACAGATCGCGCATAGATTCCTACACAAGCAACCCGGAAATGTAGCCCCAAGCTATATTTCCCGTTGCATCTAGAAGAACACTTATGTATGTTGGCAAGTGATTTACGTTTCTTTTGTTCGAAAGTGGATAAGGCGAGGTATCATGAATGTCCCTTAAATATATAATATGTTCTTCCCAGCGGAATTTGATCGAATGACGGGATTCTAATTACATTCATTTAGTGATAATTTCAATACTTAATACAACCGCTCTTGCGGTGCGTATATACATAAATACACACGTTCGAAATCCGTAGAATCTGCTGTGAAGACATTTTCCACCTATTCACAAGCGACTCATGAGTATGAGATACTCTCTGTGGAAATTAGAAATGGATCAAGATGTTCGATCAGTAATCTTGTATCACATAAGACGGTATCCTTCATCATCTTCTCTCCACTGCAAGCTACGTTTCCAATTCAAAATTAACACACAAAAATCTCTCGACCCCTTCTTAATCGCGAAGCAAGCGAGAAGCATCATAGAGAAAATTCAGAATGAATAAGCATAAATTTACAATCTGTTGGACATGTATCATGAGAGAATATTCCTCAACATCAACATGCGCCTCGCATAAATACCCTACCCATAGTCCGAAATTCACAACTCAACCTCATAACCCATGCCACCTTGACAAAAAAGTATCAAGTATCGTGTACACACACAAGCACACTTGTTGAAGCCCTACCCTTGTGAGATCTTTGAAATCTTACTAGGTTTTATTCGCATTCCCTTTATATTTATAATCCTAGGTATAATGAGTTTTAAAGAATGTGTGCAACGCACATTAGAATTTTCATCCTCTTCTGATTCCAGCCATTGAAAGTAACATGACTCTTTTGGGAGTACTTTTGAATATTCGACCTCATAAATTTTTCTTGTCGCTTTCAATGTTAATCCACTATGATTGTACCCCTCAATTTCCATACAATACTCTCATAATCCACAAGATCTAAAATATCCTCTCGAGAATAAGGAAAAGAGGAGTGCGGAAATTTTTCACGGGATCTTGGTATAGATATTTTCTCATAGTTTTAGAGCATTCTTTCCTCCATTCTCCCTTCCTCTCGTTTGGAGAAGCTACAATCTCATAATCTACGTCAGGATCTTTATCAAGATATCCTTATTCCTACAATGTGATTGTTTATCGTAATTCACGAGATGAATGATCGAACTCCTTCTAATTAATATTGTAACACATTATACACATCACATCACCGCGTCATCACCTATGTTATCAAAAACCTCGTTTCTTTCATTATTACCCCCTATTAAAGGAGGAGACTAAACGAGATATCCATTCCCCTCTCCGTTCAGACCCTTCTGAGTTCTCTACCTAATATCAAAGATTCCCAATCATATTACATCATATCATACATCATTACATACAGCATTATATACCTACCTATCTAGATAAGTACTCATACATCTCGACTACACTGATCAAAGACGCATCATACATACCTGCAGCTCTATCCACATAAACACAATTATATTATATATCTATATAACAACAAAAATAAAAACAGCACCACAGTTCAAACTATCCTTCCTCATTACAAAAACTTCCCACAGACTCGAGGTCCCAATAGGAAATGACGAGACATGAAAACCCCAAACAATACAATTTTACCTACAATCACCCTCAATGTCCACATCGTATACTCATTACTCATTACTCATTCCTCAAAACACAACCTCTCCCTTCCTCTCCTTGCTTCCTCTGAACCTCCAGACCATAGATACTCTCCCTATCGATTTGAGAAGGATACGAATGACGTAGCACCTACGATGAGAGGTCCCAAATGTCAATATTGTATTCTATCTACGAGTAAAGAGCTAACTATTGTAAGATTACATAAATCATAGACCTTAAATAAATGCTACTGAAAGAGATAGTCTCTTTTGCGTTCATTCGCTTAGGTTGGATACAGTGGCCATTGGATTGAAGTGTTTTCACCTACGTTCATACACTCTCCGCATCTTCCCCTTCCCCTTCCCCTTCCCCTTCCCTTCCCCCATCCCTCCATTCCCTACAAATACCTCCATCTCATCCAAAACAAACCCCCCAATTGCAAAACACTTACAAAAAACACCAATTTCGTAAATCTTCCCTACCTAGGTAAGTCTTACATATATCTCACATCCACCCCTTCATCTTTCCTTTATTCTTGATCCATTATCCATATTTCATCTTTATCTCCATCTTTATCTCGATTTACCTATCTATCTAATAAACATCTACATTATTCAAATTATCTCATTCCATCTTCCTCCATTTACCCCATTTACCCCATTTACCCTATTCACCCATTCTCCTCACTATTTATAAAATATACATACATAAATACCTATCTACCTATCCATATATATTCCCTAGATATCAGATATCCCGATTTCCCCCTGAGATCTCTTATATGATCCTACAACCTACAACCTACAACCTACAACCTACAACCCACAACTATTACTCAAACCTCTCAATTTCCACTTTCTTATCCTCTCAACGCTACATCTAACTTTCAATCCCGAGGTCTCTAATCCTCATTTTACTTTGCTCATTATACTATACTATACTATCTGTATATCTGTATATATTATTTACACATCACAATCGCAATTGCAATCACCATCTACTCCCCTATTCCCATTCTCATCTATACGACCAACCAACCTGCCTTCCCTTTCCCCTATTCTTTCCTAAACCTGAATTCTCAAACCTTAACCCTCAACCTTCAACCCTCAACCTTCAACCTTCAACCCTCAACTCTCAATCCTCAATCTTTAATCCTCAATCTTTAATCCTCAATCTTTAATCCTCAATCCTCAACCCTCAACGCTTAACCCTATCTCCCCCTCTCCCCCTCTCTCCCTCCCTTTCATCCTCCACACTGCTAGATAGATATTCAATAACCCATCTTCCTATCCATCCCACCATCCATCCCGCCATCCATTCCACCATCTACCCTATCTCCCCCCCTTTAAAGCAATCCATTCCTCATACTCATTTGTATATCCATAAAAATACATTCCATTCCATTCCATTCCATTCCATGATAAAATAACATAACATCATCATTACATCACTTATTCCTTCCTATCCCCTCCCCCTTCCTTTTCTCCCCTCCCTTCTCTCCCCTCTCTCCCCCTCATAAAAATCCCCCAAATCCCTAAAAAGGATAATATAAAAAAGAATACTACAACTAACTACCAATCAATCAATCAATCAATCAATCAATCAAAAGCTGCACGCACACACTCAAAACCAATCCCTCTTCTCTCAATATCTTTCTTTTGAATTTCTTCTATCTGCTATCTACTATACCATCTATCTCCTTTAGACTTCCTTACTTCTCACCTCTCCTCCCCTCTCCCTCATAGTATCTCACGATATACGATACAATACATAATACAATTAAAGCTCTCCATTGTATCTTTTCTTCCCCCCTCCTCCATTCTTCATTTCAATCTCCCCCCCCCTCCCCTCTCATCAAAATCCACAATCCACATCACACGATCCACGCACCTCAACTCTAATACATCATTCCCCTCATCTTCATCCCCAAGAACAATTACACCTCTCTAACAAAAGACCAATTAATCCCAATACCCCTTCTCTTCCTCTCTCCATCCATTAATTACCCTCACTTCTTCTCTTAAACATCCATCCATCCAACTCCCAGTCCAATTCCAATTAGTAACCAGGCAGTCAATCTCCTGTAGGCAAAAAGAAACAGATACATCTATAGCCATTCGACCATATATCCTGCCTTGGAACCCCTCTTTCAGTCAGAGATTATAAAAATACAGTAAAGAAATAAGCCCCATCTCCCTCTCCCTTTCTCTCCTCCTCAAAGAGAGCCAACAGATTAAAACAACTATAATGAAATCCCATCCCAAACACGTATGGTATAATGCAGTAGTAAAAAGACGCTCTTGCAGCAACTCCGACGAAAACAAAAATAAAATAAATAAATAAGTGGACAAAATACCACCAAAACATCAAGGCATTAAAACAAAGGAAAATATTCATCGTGTCAGTCATACATTGATCAGATGTATGACTATGTGATATCGATTTTATAAAATCGAATGGGGTATCTTTTCTTCTCTATTATTGAATCGCAATTCAACTTCTCTTCTTCCCTCGATGTAATTTCCACTCTGCTTTCGTGACCTTCATCAATAATTCTTCATCCTTGACTGGGATCCAACTGGTGAGGACTTTCATTGAACTTTCGAAATCACTATCGAGTAATATATCTCTCGTGCCATCGATTAATGCGGCGCTAGTAGCATGAATAACATCCAAGCCACCTGCAAATGGTCTTTCTTTGCTATAGGGTAAGGATTGATCTTCATCTCCTAGAAGCATGAAGACATCCCAAACGCGGAGTTGAGCTGGGAAAGGAATGGAATAATTGAAGAGAGTGAGATACCATCGAGTACCGTATGCTGTAGGTTCGATGCCAAGTTCGTTCTATCACAGTCAGTATTGTATGTAAGAAGTAGGACATCAAGTACTTACCAGCTTAGCCGAAACCTCGCCATTGTCTAGCCACGTAGTTGCAAACTCATCTAAAGCAGCCATCAAACCCGGAAATCCTGGTTCGTATAATTTCTCCAGCCCACGCAAAGTCCACATGCGTACTAACATCACAAAACATTTCTCTTCGTCATAATAACACAGAAGAGTAGCTGCCAATGATGCCATACCCTGAACATAGCCAGTAGCGGGAAAGTATAGTGATAAAGCGTGAAGAACTCTAAAGAGTAATCTCTGACCTCCTCTATATCTTCGTCTAAACATGATGTGACTATTGATCGTCCGAGGAACATCAAGATCGATTTGAACATCATCTGCCGAACTTTGATCTTGTAGCTTATGGAAAGCTTGGATTATATCTCCCTCTTGTGCGCTATCTTCCCTCTTCTTTGCTGAACTAGCAAGAAAGGAATACCATGCCGCAGAACGCCAACGATCTGGTATCCCTTTCCATGTCCTTTCTATTAATTTGGAATTTTTGGTGTCGAATTCGAAAACCATTCCTTCTCCATCCTTGCCCTTTATTATTTTAGCCATTCTTCTCCATTTCTCTGTTCGTTCCGATTCTTTCTTCTTCATCAATTCTGCCCCTTTCCCCCCTTCCACTTCTTCAGCAATATCCGCCAAGCCAGGAGGTAGAGTCAACATGTCACCAGCTTCGTCCATCCACCTTCTATCCTTATTTCCTGGTAATCGATTGGCAGCTTGTCTGAGTTGAGAGCTTCGCGAACTTCGTATTGACGCATTATCCCCTTGTGTCCTTTTCAACGACCTCGCAGAAACCTTTCGACTAGGAGCACGCCTCAATCCCTTCTGGGAATTCGCGGTAGATGGCGATCGACCAAATGTTCGTTTTCTTCGTGGTGCCTCGGAAGCCAATTGAAGTACAGTGGACACCCGTTGTGGTGGTTTGGGTTCTGGCGTGCCGGGTCTGGTGGTAGTCCTCCCGCGATTAATGAAACCATATCTATCGACATCTTTCCCATTCACATCTTCCCAATCTTCGATGCCTCCCGCTAACTCGGCCGGTCCTCTATTCGACAATGCGCTCGCGGATCGTTGTGGCACACCAATGCCATTGGGAGTCAAGTAACTGTTTGCCCTAAAATTAATTAGTGGAGAGCGCAATCATCAGTAAGCAGTTCCACACTCACGTAACAGGTCTTTCGGGTATCGAATCCCCTCCGGCTGTTATACGATTGTCAATTGTGTCGTCTTTCCCATCACGCCAGTCAAAGCCCGACCCCGACTCATACATAGATCTGACCTTTTGCGACTCCATTTCCAAATCGTCTGACAATACTTTGGTCGATGGCGACGTTGTGGCTAACATAGAAAAGCTAGGTTGTCTAATGAATGTCTCTCGTCAGCACAATTAGCTGGTACGCTACGGGGCTTTGATCCCACCCACCTTCGCGTCGCATTTGTGCGCGCTTGAGCATTTGCTGGCTTTCTTCCCCCTAACATGATACTCCCTCTTTTGGAAAAAGACATAGATTGCATAAAATCGTCTTCTAATAAACTTTCACCTGGGATTGGAGTGGTAATGGGTGAAAATTGGTCGTCTGGGATCTCTATAGATTTACCAGTCTTGGTAGGGCTTTTGGAATTGCCATTTTTCGTTTTCCAGCGTTTCAGGGACCCTGCAGAAGACCCCAAGCTTTCATTTTTCATAAAACTTGGAGATTTTAGTGATGCGGGTGATTGCACATCGCTCAATTGAACTTGTGGAGTGGAGCTTGTGCTGCTTGGTTCTGCCATGGCCACTTTTGAATCAAAGTTTATATTGATTCCCAAGACATTGTCATTATCGACGGTATTAAAAGAGTGACGATTAATAGAACCTCCTTCACAATCTCGAGCACTTGTGCTGGTGGTAGGGGCAAGACCAGAATCTCTCTTTGTATTATCCTCCTTCTTCAAAGCTCCTAGTTCATGACCTTGGTTAAGTAGTGATCGTGGCCGAAATGCAGGATGCGTATCTGTGGGTGGAGAAAGTGGAGGTGCAACAGTAACGGGAATTGGTGCCCTTGCTCCAGGGAACATATCTTCATATCTCATCGCAATTAGCTCTGACGGTGGCCCTGGTAGTCCCTCATTATTGGTTGGTATATTGGTCGTAACTTGTGGGGTACCGGTATTAGGATTAGGATTAATATTGTTTTTGGTATTATTAGATGACTTCTTTCGAATACTTCTAAAACTTCCGAATCTTTGAACATTGAGTGCCATGGTTCATTATTTGAGGCGAAAGGGTTCGAGTTTGTTTGTTTAGTTGTTTTGGGGTTGTTTTGTTGTGGAGGGAGGGAGAGAGAGGGAGAGGGGGAGAGAGAGAGAGAGAGGGACAGAGAGAGAGAGAGAAATAGAAAGAGAGATAGATTCAAAAGACCCGAAGAATTTGTGCCGGCAAGGTAACTCGTCGTATAATATTAGAAAGTTTCACCTCGAAAATATAGATTGAGGAAAGTTGAAGAAAATCTGATAGATTATGAGATGGACCAATTCTTCTTCGCCTTTTGGATTTCGCAATGTTACTTTTCGGTGCTCTGGTCGTAAGATATCAATGTTGTGATGCAGGTGTTGTGTTATACTAGTATCGTATAATGCAGCGGCTTGCAGGTGGGCACTTTCTGTGATTTGATATGATGATTCTATTGCCGTAGTGCTGTGTTGTAAGGTAGACGGATTGGAATAAGTGCTCGGGTTGAATTATATATTTGGATTGGAGGAGGTGCTCTTCTTCTCTTCGGCTTGATATTTCCAAAGCTGGAGGTAGTTCGGATGTAGATTTCAATTGTCCTTATTAGAGGGAACTTGGAAGAATCAGAATCTTTGATATATTCTGTAGAGATGTAACCTTGAGATCCGTGTACTCGATCAATAGATAGTAAACAAAATATTCATAGTAAAAAGATCAATGTTTTGTTTTTCCTCTGTTAGATATCCGTATGTAGCTGAAATACTTGAGGTGGAAATTTGATTCTTGAAATCGATATTCGAATATCGATTATCTCAATCAACTCGTTCTCTCGAGGTCACCGTTCATTCATATACAGTCGAGAAGAAAGAGCAAAACATCATTTCCTCTTCAATAAAAAGAAACATCACGATAATTGACATCAAATTCCCATCTTGACTCTTTTGGTAGAATCTGGTGGGCCAACATTGACCACGCACTCCCATTGAACCGTCTTCTCACCATACCTTTTCCTGATCAATATCAAGAAGTAGATTTCTTCATGACCGTCTTTTCAAATTCTCATAGTCATTTTTATCCATCATCGGTCATGCCAACGATACATATCATGATATGCCAACTTCACGTTGAACGCGTTGAAGTATATACTTAATATCATCCGATCAACAATGATATCATGATAACGTGTAGTTTCAACATAATATGATCGCTTTGACAAAAGGCCATACGGGTTTGTCGGTCCCATGGTATTACATCATATCATGTCTTTTGATATACCGGTCACGGTCGATTTAGAACTTTATTATAGAGAAAAAGCAGAAGAAGCAAGAAAAGAAAGAGAAGAAAAGAAAGAGAAGAAAAGAAAGTAGAAAAGTAAATCCCCCAATTATTAACTAGGTATTTGTCATTCCATATATCTTATATACAAGTAACTCTATATCAGTCCAAACATATGAATATCTATATTATATCATAAATAGATACAAGATAATATACCTTCACTCAAATTATTTATACTCAGATACCTACTAATAGTCGGCTCTTAGAAGCGGCCTCCTAGTTCCTAGTCGGGGAAAGCGGTTGTCCCCGGAAAGCGGTTGTCCCCAAAAAAATTGGTAGGGAATTTTATTCAATTCTTAGAAAAAGAATACTAGATTTCATATTATTGAATTGCTATAATCTCAACAATATAATCTACCACACTTAGTTTTAACTTCATTTATCATAATAGGGATAATAAATAAGTGATAAAAACCAATATTTTATTACTAATCATATAATTTATAAAGGTTGTAGCTGATATAATTCAATTATTATGATATTTTCGAAGTTTTTTGGGGACAACCGCTTTCCGGGGACAACCGCTTTCCCCGACTAGGAACTAGGAGGCCGCTTCTAAGAGCCGACTATTAGGTATGTATGCAAGTCTCCCCGAGTTTCCCATCCCTCTATATCTCGCTTCCCTTTCTACCTATTCCCTCTACATCAGCCCTCTACCTCTTCCCTTCCCATCCCTTCCCAGCCCCCATTCCCCATTCCCCATCCCTCATTCAGCTTCCCTCCAACACCAACTCCATACATCCACGCACAGACAAACCAGATACCCTCGACACCTCAGCCCTTACCAAAACAGAAGATGGCCTACCTACTATTAATATCTAGTACCTAAACACCAATCCCTAACCATCAAACATCAAAACGTTCTCCAACCTTCTATGACTAACTTTAGCACCCACACACCCACACACCCGCAAAGCTTATATATATATATATATATATATATATATATATAAATATCTCGTACAGAAAAGAAACCAAAAAGTCAAAGTCTAATTACAAACTAACTAACTAATTATTAAGTAATCTTATATACTAATAAGTACCTACTTCATCTACCGGTACTCAACCTCGTTCGTTCACTACAAGGGAAGATTACATAATACATTACGATTCTCCCCTTTCGAATGAAAACTCTAATATTCTTTTTATTATCAAAAAGAAATCAATACAATTGTAATAAATATACTCAAGTTCTATATAAAATAAGATTAATCGATTCATCTTAATAAGTATCTGTCTATCTAGTATTTATTTTCATTATCGTTGAATTTTATAAAGATATCTATATCTATACCTATTAATCTATTAAGTATTACATATTAAATAAATAGATTCCCAATATTCAATTTATTATAAGTATACTAACTATAAACTACAAACTCATCTCAAGCTAACACCTACTTCACTTCTCCCTACTCCCTCTTCCCTCCTCCCTCTTCCCTAATTCCTCACTCATCTACTCATCTATTCAGCTATACCTATATTGTAAAGGAGTAGAAGGTGGTAGGGTCATAAAGTAGTCCTTCGTAAATACCACAGACAAGTCACTGAGACATAGCGCCTCCGGTGAAGGAGAGGAGGAGTAGATACTACATAGCGCGTCACAAAGCGTACAAGAAGATAGGTGGGAACTGACTGCTTTTCTCTACGATAAACTATACAAAGAAGACCTATAAATACTAGCTACAGAAAGAGGTCACGTGACCAGTACCAAGTTTCGCCCACAATATCTACACCTAACCTCTAAATAATATCTAATTATAAACAAACAAACAAACAAACAAATAAAAATACAAACTTCCATATCATTTATAATTATAATCACAACATCTACTCCTCCTCTCACTACCTAGCCCTAGATAATCAAATATCACACAAGCGAGATGCTATGCTATTCTATTCCATACATTATACACCATATACATCATATCTAACTACTAATTACATAGATATATATATACCTACTATTCACCCACTCATCTATCTACTATCGTACCTAGATATATAATCATACAACTCACAACTCACAACTTACAAACAACCCATCACCCCCCTCCACATGTTCTCAATTCCACAACCACAACCACAACCACAACCACAACCCCAAAATCCATCCAAACAAGTCTTATCGTACAAATCCATAGATTAATACCACCACCCCCGGAGAAAACAAAAAGAATGTCACTCATACATATATACATATATACATACATATATACATACATATATACATACATATATACATACATATATACATACATATATACATACATACATACATATATATATATAGGTACATGTAACATAGGTACATATAGCATACCACCAAACCCGCCACTATTTCATTTCATTTCATTTCATTTCATTTCATTTCATTTCATTTCATATCATATCAAGTCAAATCAAGTCAAGTCAAGTCAAGTCACATCACATCACATCAAATAAAAATCTTCCTTCCGGTTCCGAAGTGCGAGCGTGACACATACATACATAGGTACACATACGCATATATATACATACACATACACATACACATATACATACCTATCAATTCCGCAGCCCAAATTATCATTATTTCTTCTTTTCAAAAAGACAGTCAAAATAAATAAAGGAAAGAAAGATTGATAAATTTTCTATTTCTCTCCCCTCCCCTCCCCATCCCTCACTTCCTCTCCTCTTACACACAATGTAAATACAATTCTCTATTGCGTACAACACAAACAAAGCATCCATTCATATCATACCATATAAGAATATGCTATTCATTCAATCCCACTGCATTGAATCCCCCCCATTCTACCTCTTCCTTTACCTCATCTCATCTCAAAGAAGCGCACAGAAAAACGAATTCCACCATTTGACATAAATCCATATCAAATCATTTGACACTGTTCAGTATTGTATGCCGGCACCAGCATCATCCATCATGACAAACGCCAACAAAAACGCCACGCCATGCTGCCTGCCTACCAATAAATGCTATCTTTTATCTCCCGATTTTCCACTTGTTCTCCTCAACCACTTATACTCATCAAAGCTCCTCATTCTCCCAATCTCTCTCATGATACGTTGAATGTGCTCTTCCCCCACTCAAATCCAACTTTGCCAAAAACTCCGGAGGAACAGTTGGTATATATTTTCTTTCTCTCTCTCTATTAACCCCTCCAAATCCCGCTCCATAACTAATCAACATATCCGTACTCGAGGGTAATGAAAATGGTAGCATAAGAGCTGGATCTAAAAGAAGATTTTCGGGTGCATCGTCATCTTCGTCAAACGATTCATAATCTAGAGATTGAGGTTTTCCACCACGACCGTTCGAATCAGGGGTATCAGGTAAGGGTTTGCTACTTCCCTTTCTAGCTGGTGTAGATGGCGCACTCATGCGTAGACCTTGAGAAGTGCGTTTTTGACGTTCTTTTCTTAATCTGTGCTCTTCTTGTAGATTGATTAAATAGTTCATGGCACTTTTTGGTAAACCCTTTTCTCCAACTTCGGCTCGATAATGTTTTACCGAATGTATTAGTTGTTGAGGTGTAAGTCGCGTGAGTTGTTGTAACGTTCCAACTAGCGCTTCCAAGTCATCTTGTCCCAAAGATGAGAAACATTGTAACCATTGTAGTAACTGTACTAAAGGTGCGAGATGTCGTCGCGTTGCCTCAACAGTCATTTCTCCACTAGAAGTCATAGAACCATGTTCATAATGCTCAGGTTGCCGATTGTTCGTTCGCGCCCATTCTTCGAGACTAGATACATTCATACGTATTTGCATTGCTTTGGTTCGTGCTAGGTATTTTCGATTAGACATGATACGATTGAAAAGTTCGGCTCCAAGCCAGTAGAGTAGTTGCGCCAATATTTGAGAAGTAATGACAGAATGTATGTCATAGAGATCCAATACAAAAAGAGTCGAGGATAATAAAGATGTGACATTGCGAGGTGACGGTTTAGCCCTTGCCTTGGGAGAAGGTGGTCGGAATCTTTTTTCAATCGGCACTTCTTTGACAGTCGTTTTTCTCTTGAAGAGCTTCCATTCATTCTGAAATGTGACGTCTTCAAATCCTGGTATAGTTTCATGTTCTAACATGGCAGAATCAAGGACTTTGTCCATTCTCCTTTCAGCATCTCGAATAATTAAGATAAATATCTCATTGATTAATTCCGCAAGCTGAAGTTGAAATTCGGATGTTGACTCAGACAACCCAGCATCTTTCTTCAGATAATGTAATAATAATGTAGCATTCGAAATCCAGAAAGCCAATATCGTCATGTCCCATTGGTGTGTTTCAACCACATCATTGATCTTGTCCATTGCGCTAATGAGGAGTTTGGCAAGAAGATCATGACTTGCATGATAATGAGCATACCTGGCGCTGAGAAAAATCATGTTCGCCGGCACAGGTTTCTGAGACGGCGATCGTTGAGGAGACATGTTGGTGATGATAATATCCAGGATTCGACCAAGTTCACTTTCTTGGAACACGAACATTTGATCATGTAAACATCGACTCCAATCGAAATCTTGTCCTTCTTCTTCTAACTCCTCTGGTGACTCAGGTTGATCATCAATACCCATATTACCCAAGTCAACCTCTAAATCTCTAGCACTCTCCATCATCATTCGCCGCCTCATCTCATTTTCTGCCATTTCCTCCTCGAATCGATCTTGGGAGAATCCAGGATTATAAAAGTCATCCGTTACTCCAGCATTGCCAATGTGATAACCGCCATCCTGAAGGTAGTCGGCAATTTCGCTATCTGGGGCGATAAAGTCGAATGCTGTTCTACCCGTTGACGATTTAACATCTCTAGATGCGCCCCTATCTAAGAGTGCCTTCGCTATACCCTTATGTCGATTTGTCATTGCCCACATCAAAGCACTCCATTGATTTCGATCTTGTTTGTCGACATCGGCGCCAGCATCTAATAGTGCTGTTACAACGGCTTCATGACCCTGCGCAATCGTTAGTTGCTTCAAATAATACGACAAATGTGGCCAGAACTCACAAAACAACTTGCGTATATTAATGGCGCTGTACCTTCTTCATCCGGCGCATCCAAATCAACAAGGTCTTTTGCTTTACCTTGAAGAATCCTCTCTATGCGATCAACATCTCCATTACTAGCTGCCATATTCAAAGCCTTTTGCAATATATCCTTCTTCTCTTCGAGCGAAAGCTTCTCATCAGTAGCGACAGCATCTTCATCCTCACTAGCTGAGCCATCCCGATGTGCTGCTTGAGCGGCCAACATTTCCATGAGTCGATTGTCACTCTCCCCTATCTTTTGTTTTGTAATATCATCTTCGAATTCGTCAGTTCCGAGTGAGAGATTCTTGAATTCAAGTGGTTTAGCAAGAACAGGATTTGTTAAGAATTGCGATTGTCCTAAAGATGTTAGTTGGTTGATTTTGTCCCTCCTACATTGAATTGTCATACCTTGCCATGCATCATACATCTCAGTCTCCGGTGCATACTCTGCCGATACATTTTTTCGATCGTCAAGTGACTTGGGCAAATCATCAGGTAGTGGTCGTGGTTTTACCCTCTCCTCCCCAAATCCACCTATATCTCCATTATGGTCCTCGATGTCCATCACAACAGCAGAAAGACTGCATGCAACCTGTACACATCTGTTGTAACCTTATGAGAATTGAATTTGTTTCCTGCAGATCTTGTCATTCAAGGAGGTGTAACAAATTCTGGAACTGTTATTGGATCCACAGGGAAGCTGCTGTGGTAAGTTGTAACTTGGACTTTCTTGCATTTATTATGATGTCGGAGCCGGGGCATGTTTGATTGAAGGGTCGCAGAATAACCTTAGAAGTCATCTTGGAAGTTGGTCCAAGCGTTTACCAGGTTTCACCATGAAGGATGCAGGCTGGCTCGGCTGGGCAGTATTCAGCCTTATTTTGTTTTCTGTCAATGTAATACCTGTGTAATTCAATGTTTGCGTGTAGAATCTTTCTATGACTTCAAATATGTGGAAGGCAAGTGATTGAAAACTTCAAATTGCGTATGATTACCTAGTATGTCAGAGGAAAGATGCCATATTCAAAGTTTACAAACTACCTAGTACTGCTTTGCGACAAAGTTTCCGTCACTATTGAAGAGATGAAAGTCATCGAAGAGAGTCAAACTCTGTATGACAGCAGAGGATTTCGAATATTTCCATTATGCCTCTACTCATTCACTTAAACACTTCTCTTTCCTAGAACCCTAATTCTCTTTACTCCTCCATCAGGAATCATGACTAATTTGACATGTGTAAAGGTTTTATCCTTCACCAAGGATTCAAATTCATGCTCCTTATCAGCACTAGTCTTACTCGGCTCAACAACCGCAGTCCATCCTTCAGCTGAAAACTCTGGCTCCCCTTCACCATTCCAGTTTATAGCCTCAACCTTTACTTTCTGAGGAAAGTTACCCCTGAAGAATGCCGTATCGACAATCAAGCTCTCAATGGTTCCTGGTGCTCCTAACCGAATGATAGCCCAATCCACATGATCCTTTCCTCTAGATCGCTTGGTTTCCCAACCATCTCCCATATCCTTTCCACGTCCAGGTAATATAAGATTGGCGATAACTCCAAAGTGCTGATCACTACAAGAAACAGCAACTCCTCCATTTTGAGCGGCGGCCAAATCAAAGATGGCATTCTTATCTTCTGGGAAAACAGGTATGGCATGACCAAAGAGTCTGAATCGAGCAATTCCACCATCTGGGTACATGTTGAGCCTCACGTGAGTGTAGGCTTTTGTGGTTGGAACAGCAAGTTTCCATCCAAATCTTTGAGAAGGACCACACTCTTGTAAACCAAGAATCGTTTCCCATTTTCCCCGACCACCTTTCCATCCGATTACTTCTTCGTCATTGTCACTGAACACACCCTCGACGGAAATAGCAGGTGCATTATTTCCAGAGAAGAAAGCTGTGTCAACTTCAATTCCCTCAACTGTTCCGGAAGCAACCCCGAGACGAATTACAACATAATCAAAAGGTTCAGTGTTATGTCGACGTGTTTCCCATCCATCGTACCAGGCACCAGTGTATACCATCTTTCCTGGTTGTCTGATGGGTGGGGTAGGAGTGAGAAGATTGTTTGCTTCCGCAAACCATTCATCTGAGAATGAAAGTACTTTTCCACCAAGACTTCCAGATATCAGATCTAGAGTGGAGGGTTAGCCAAATGATTAATATTTGATGTATTTTATGGCTTTAGAGAAAGCTTGGAGCACATGGTGAGAATATCGTCTGACAAAAAAAGTTCACTCCCACTTGAGATGTTCGTTGTAGACTTGTACATGTTGTTCACTGAAAGAATCAAGAGTTTCCTCTCATGCTCTTAAGCTTCTATCCTTAAGTAATCTATGACTTGTGAAACTTCCAGCCGTTCATGTCTCAAGCCACGCGACAGAAGATAAAGTATCACTTACCAATACATGATGAACGGAAAGTAGTATCAATCTCGTCCGATGGCACCAAAGATGCCGCAACATCTTCCGTCTTGTATTCGGTTTCGAAAGTCATCTTGAATTGGGTATTGAAGAAAAGATTTCACGACGAAGGATATCAGAAAAGTAATCTGAGGAAGTGACCAGAGAAGAAGAAAAAGAACAAGTAGAAGAAAAAGTAAACAAAAGAGAGTTTTCGATGATATTGGAAATTTACAATTTCCATCGAGTAATAATACCATTTTCCTATATCGGGGTCCTCCGATAAGTCCTCCGATAAGCCCCGCTATCAAGCAAGAACATTTATCCATCTTTAACCTTACCTAGTATTCTTCTTTAATCTGAACAGGATCCGATGAAATGTATGATAAAATGTATGAATACTACTCGTATATTGTTCGATGATATTCACCACATATATGGACAACAGGACTTTTCTGTTTGAGTGACAGCTTGGAAACTTTGGACGATGAGAGTAAAGATATCTACTTCATTCTAGATTGACATCTTCAACCCCAGGATTACTACCTATTAGTTTACATATCATTTCGTCCTTCTTCAGCTCATTCCATCTCGTCTTGTCTCGTTTCACTTCTCTCTCTTCATGCCTACTCTACTAGGTAGATTGATATAATGAAGATATACTACATGTATAACATTTCCACATTTCCAATACTTCTCCTTGTTTAACTTTCCACTCCATCCTCGTATTTCAATGACAACTAGACACCTGAGCAATAATCATTGCGCAATATGCGACCGGACTCCGTCATGAACGGATGGAAATGTCTCAAGATCTCAACATAGAAAGTGCTTACAGAAGCAAGCTCCATGATTGGTTCACTCTCCCCGCAATCCAAATTCATTGACGCCATTATGCTACTTTTAATTGTACTACAAACACGTTGACGATCTAAATCCATGTAATGTATCTTATTTAATGCTGCCTTGGATCTTATTAAGTACCAGGTATTTATATAGGTAGGACGGATATCTTACCCGAATATCATTGATTCATTTTCAATTTCATTCTCGTTTTCTATCTCCATCTCCATCTCCATCTCAGTCTGGAATATACACATCAAGCATTTGAGAAGTATTCTATCTCGGACCATCAATAATATGGCATCCTCAACAGGAATACCACAAAATCCTCGAGTAGCTTCAGGAGAACTTCCAGATCCTTATGAAGCTGGTTATGGAGAAGATGAGCCTTTAATCGGAAGAGCCGGCGACGCCTCACAACAAGAAGGTCGTCCACTCGTCTGGAATCTCGCACTTGGTAATCCAACCCTTCACAACATTCAATTCAAAACATAGCCACAACTAATACAAATTCTCCAATAGGTACAGCAATCATCACTCAAGTCGGACTTCTCCTCCTCGTAGCTCATATCTGGGCTAGCATATTTCTCTCCCCATTAATGCTCTTCTCAGCACATCCTCTTCTCAATTCTGCCGCCCTCTTGGTTCTTACCCAAGGAATCCTCATTCTACAACCTACACATACCGCTACACAGAAACGTCAGGGTACAATTGCGCATGCGGGAATAAATGCATTAGCTAGTAGTCTCCTAATCGCCGGTCTCGTCGTTATCGAAGTCAATAAATTCGCACACAATGGAACACATTTTGAATCAGCTCATGCTATTCGTATGTATTTCTAATCAGATCTTGGAGCTGAAAATATACTAATAATTTTAGTGGGTTTGATAACTTATATACTCCTCTTAATTCAATCTATAGTCGGCTTCACACAATACTTTACCCCCTCTCTATACGGCGATGTTTCCACCGCAAAATCCATCTATAAATATCATCGATTGAGTGGATACCTCGTTCTTCTCCTAATGCTTGCTACAATCGCCGCGGCGACGTGGACACCTTTTAATGTTAATGCATTGCATATTAAGAGCTGGGCAGTTATTGTTTGTGCTGTATTGGTCTTGATTGGAATTATTTCACGAATTAAGAGACAGAAATTAGGTTTGGGATCTTCTAGACATTGAAGTACTTTAGCGGAGGGGTATGCGTCTAGTTTTAGCAACGAAATGGATATGACCTTCTCGATTATTCGAGCAATTCAGGTGAGGAGAGGGACAGGTGAATATGTATTATGATTTACGTGTCATGATATACATGCACAAGTACACGACGATGATGATTTTGGGGATTTCGGCTTTCCGGTTTTTGGATGGCGTTTTGGATGGCGAATGGATTGTAGTTTGTATTGGAAGCAGTCGATGGGAAGAATCCGAATCTCAGATCAAGAACTTAATAACTCAATTCATTCTCAACTCAATTATTTAAAACAATATGACCTCTCATAATCACGTATCCGATCATTATATGCTAGCCTTTAATGATAGCGTACTAGACTTTAGCAAGTAGCTGAATACATTTATTTCATTATACTAGCTCTCGCATCTCTCTTCTCTCGTTTATCCATGTCATTCCATTATATATCTCTTTGATTTCCTTTCGATTTTCTCCTTTCCTCTTATTCCCTCTTCTTTTCTTTCTCTCTTTTATCTGATTCCTTAATATATCCTCAATCCTTCTTTTTTCTATTTCCTCTCTTTCCTTATTTAGTCCCATCCAATCCCAGGCCATTCCATTCCATTCTCTCCCCCTTCCCTTTACCACTCCTATTCCTACTTCTACTCTATTCCTATCTCCCATCTCCCATCTCCCATCTCCCATCTCCCATTTCCCATCTCCCATCTCCCATCTCCCATCTCCCATCTCCCATCTCCCATCTCCATCTCCCATCTCCCATCTCCCATCTCCCATCTCCATCTCCCATCTCCATTTCTATCATAAATAAAATCCTCCAGAACTTATCTTACAATATCAGCTTTCCAACAAATCCTATCTTATATACCAATGAGGAGGCTAAAGGCTAAAGGCTAAAGGCCAAAGACCAAAGCTACCTATTATATTCTATACTCCATACTCCATACTCCATACTCCATACTTCATACTCCATACTCCATACTCCATACTCCATACTCCATACTCCATACTCCATACTCTATACTCCATACTCCATACTCCATACTCCATACTCTATATTCTATATTCTATACTCTATACTCCATATTCCATACTCTATATTCTATATTCTATACTCCTATAGTTACACTGCAATCACACTACAATCACACTGCCATCACACTACAATCACACTATAATATAATACAATACAACATCAAGAACCCATTCGGAACAAAACGAAACGATATGAAACAATACACTCATTCTCTACTTTAGAATTCTCCAATAATAATATCAACCACCTACCCACTACTTTCAATACAACAGATCCCTACAAACACATTCTCATTTACAAATACAAATATCACACTAATAAACAATATTACCTCAATTTCTGTACATATAATATATTCGTACATGTGCAATCCTCATCCAATGACCCTACCCCTCTTTGTTACTTATCCCAAACCCATTTCCCTTCCCAATCGAATCATACTCCCCCATATCCATATTCGTAAGCATACACATACCAATATACAATTTGTCCATCCGATCCCATAATACAACTCCTACAATCCAACACCCGTTTCCATCATCCTATCAAAACCCTTACTCCCAAATTCACCTTACCACAACTCACAAACCGGTTCCTTCTCCTTACAACTAAAAGCCTCCTTAAATTCTCGACTATTGGCCATTGTACCCAATACTCTTGCCCACTTTGGTGCATGTGGATCGGTATAGAGTCTATTAATTGCCGTTTCCTTCGTCGTCTTTCCACACCACCAGTTAGCGTAACTAACAAAGAACAACTGATCTTGTGAGAAATGTTCTGATAATCCTGGAAGATTTTGATTCTTCTCATTACTCTCCCCTTGACGTTTCTTCCATGCAGCGAAAGAAGCAGAAAGTCCTCCAGCATCTGCGATATTTTCTCCCAAGGTGAGTTTACCATTGACGTAAAGAGGTTTGTCATCTGGACCGGGAATACTGTAGTTACCATATTGATCAATGAAACATTGAGCACGTTCTTTGAATGCAGCTACAGTAGATGGTGTCCACCAATCGGTATAGTTGCCATTTTGATCATAATGACGACCTGTAGAATCAAATGCATGAGATAATTCGTGTCCAGAAACAGCTCCAAAAGCACCGTAACTAAGATATTGTGGAACGGCTACGTCGAAAACTGGGAATTGCATTATACCGGCTGGGAAAACAATTTCGTTTCCAGGTGGGTTGTAATAAGCATTCACTGTTGGTACCGTCATACCCCATTCATTTCTATCGACTGGCTTTCCTAGACTTGACCATTCACGTGCAATATCAAATCGTCTCATATTCAAGGAGTTCTTGAAATAAGCCGAATCCGATACCTGAACAGATTGATAGTAACTGTGAAGGTTCTCGGGATCCATGATATCTGGGCTCTGTTCCAATGATCAGTATGTAAATTCTTTCATCCTCATTTTAGACATTCAACGTACCTGTGTAGGATATCCAATCTTCTGAACGATTTTGTGTACTTTCTCAATGCCCAAATCAATGACACTAGAATCCATCCATGTAGTTGCCTTGAGTTTTTCAATAAACATCTCTTTGATATCAGAGACAATTTGATCTCCAAAGTCCTTGGCATCAGCAGAAAAGGCCTTCTCGACGAAGAATCGACTCAAAATCCAACCAAGTCCATCATCAACATGCGAAACACAAGTTCTCCATCGTTCTGGTTGAGAATCCGCATCCTTTCCTTGAAGCTCATTGATAAATTTTCGATATGGCTTCAATTCATCTGCTTCAATCTCCGTATAGAATGTCTGAATAAGCTTCCATACGAAGTACGTTTGTAATGTTTCCTTTGGAGTAGTCTTTAGTACTTCTGATAATGCGTGCATGTAACTTGGCGATGCAATGATCAATCGATCAAGTTTAACATCTGCAGGAATCAAACTATGAATTATCTTGGATAGATGAATTTGTGGGGTCAGTTTGTCAGCCTCTTGGAGGGACATTGGGTTGTAAGTTTTCGTGACATCGTCCCTGTCTTCGTTGTTTGGAGAGGCAGCAGCTAGCTTCTTTTCGAGAGCAACTACATCACGGGCAAGATCTGTTGCTTTGTCTTGTGCAGTAATGCTGTTACGATCAAGACCCTTGTTGCTTGGATGCTCTGGTAGAAACTTTGGGATGACTTGTGCAATAGTCTGAGTATAGTCGTTTACTACCTTTTCATTATCGTAATACTCTTTCGATGGGAGGCCGATTCTATAAGGTGGTGCTACCTGAACGATGACGGTGTCGGGGTCTTTATCGTCAGGTCCGGTACCGGATGATATGAGTGCCGAAGATCCCAACTTGGCCATGTATTCTATAGTGTCTGTAAGACTGCTATGGTCCTCTGACTTCATGAGCAAGTGCTTGTAGTCTTTAACCGGAAACATATCTGTTACTTGCTGCGTTATTTCTTGTAAAGGAGCGATGCCGACAGTCTTAATCTTGGTTTCATTCATGCATGCATTATAGCCTGCCTTAAGCTTATCAAAATTCTCTTCGTCCAGGGAAGCGGGAGATGATGATAACATAGCGGGAGAGAAGCTCGAGTGCTATCATACAATTAGTTACGTTAGAGGGCTGCTGTCGGAAAATGCTCACTTTAGATTCTTTGGGATAATCTCCTTCAAGTATGTGCCTCAACAAAGTCTGTGAATTCTCACTCATGATTGTTCCTGTAAAGGCATCACCTTGATCAGGTCTCAAATCATGATGATCTCTCCATCCACCACAGACCAGTTCTTCAAAATTCGAACACGCATCAAGCTCTGTATATTTGGGAGAAAGGTTGTTTAGTATTTCGGAAGCGGCATGAACGCATGCTGCAGAGTCGCATGTGCTTTGCCGAAGGATTTGCTTTGAAGGCGAACGAACTAGGCGTGGATATAAATGTCAGTGATCGCATCTCATCTAGGAATAGTGCTACAAGAAGGAAGAATTAAGGGGTTTCTTGAATGAAGGATTGGATAAGGGTAATGCAATGGTGCTTGAAAGGAATGAAAACATTCATACCGGTGAAGAATAGGGAAGCGGTAACAATTATCATCGTTACCAATAAAACACTCACAACCCCCATAGTACTTTGAACAAACCATCTCAATTTTGCCTTCTGACTTTTGGCTTTCCAAGAGTCCGAAGTAGAATACGATGAGTGCTCGGAGCTACTGGCTTCCTTTCGAAGGAGTGGCGCCTCTTCAGAATCCTCATCGTTTACTTGTCTCGGCGACGAAGAGCACATATTTAATACTCGTTCTGCTACGCCAACATGTCCTTGTGCATGCGGCTTCTTGGTAGAGGCACCCATATCGTATAGACGCGTCGATACCGCGGTTAACAGCCCAGCCAGGGGAATAACGAAATTTGCGAATGTATTCTTGGCTTTAGTTTTTGGTCGTATTCTTGGGATTAGAATCGATGAAGGTGGAGGAGTAGAATGAAGAGGAAGACGTTGCGGATAAGATCTTGGACTTGCAGCAGTCTTCTTTTGCCTGCGTGCCAGATCGTCGGAGATTGTTACGATGAATAACACACGCCCCCAAAAGATCCAAAAGTGTCCAAAAAAGAAGAAGGAAGAAGGTCGAGCAAAAGGTGGAATGCTCAATGCTGATTGTTATAGAGAGTGTTTACGATATGGAATGGCTGGGGAAGGGGAAGGGGAAGGGGAAGGGAATCAATGCAGAACACAAGAAAGCGGGGAGAGCTTCTTTCCTTATCGGGACGTTGAAACAGCTCGATTGGGAAAGGAAGAACCGGGGGATAGATCCGAGCAAACCCTTGGCAAAACATGTCGTCCAATGCGTGATGTGTATGGAATCAAATCTCATCCATGGTTCACAGGTGATTGGAGAACTTGAGAAACCTTTTCATAGACAAGTAGCCCTTTCTTTGTGAATCACGACCGGCGATTCGTCAAGCCGACTCAGCCGAAAATAAGAAAGATATTATAAAGCTTCCGACCATGTAATAATAACTGGTGTCGGTGGACGGAAGATACTGGAAATGAAGTTCCAAGGTAAGGTTGGTCTTGATATCGACTCCAATCTTATGTAGATGTAGATAGCTAGCCAGTCGGTAGGTACCTAGTACATATATTATTATTATCATCACCTACCTATTCATTGTACTCCCAGCAATCTCGTGACACAAACCGAGTAATCTTCATCGCAGCCAGGCCCGGGAGTCCTGTGCTTTTCCCTCGTCGTAATCTTCCCATCCATCCCAGGAAATCGGATGTTTACTTTTGTGGTGAGACAGACACCAACCACTTTATATCTCTCCATCTAAATATACACACAATATACACATAATATACACATAATATACACATAATATACACATAATATATACATAATATACACATAATATACACATAATATATACATAATATATACATAATATACACATAATATACACACAATATATACATAATATACACATAATATACACACAATATACACATAATATACACATAATATACACACAATATACACATAATATACACATAATATACACACACCATATCTTATCCCCTGCGGCTAAAGCGTTCCCAGAGACAATAATTACCTCCGTACTCGAGTATCTAGTATCTACCAATCCCAACTTAATTACACGGCATTCATTCGGGATTGATTTTCTTCACATACTACATACTAGGTACTTGGCGCGCGGTGTGTACACGATCGTACGAGTATTCGCAGGTTCCCAGGTAGACCTTGATGCCATGGAATTGACGACCGCCTCATCATTTGTTTTCTTCTTCTTCTTCTTCTTCTTCTTCTTCTTCCCGTGCACGCGTGCTTCTTCATTTCGTAACAGGTGAATCATCCATCCATCCATCCATCCATCCATCCATCCATCCATCCATCCATCCATCCATCCATCCATCCATCCATCCATCCATCAATTGGCTTACCATACCTACCATAGTACATACTTTGTAGATATGTAGTGGAATCGATCGATCGAAGTAGTTGTGACCTTTTGAAATTGGAACGTTCATCGGCCCCCCCTGAGTAATCCGGAAGGGGAAAAAGATCTGAAGATTCCTTCCCTTTCCAGAGGATTGGCCATGGGAATGGTTGGAAATGGCTGTCCTCTTCCCTTCTGGTCGGCAGGTGAAGGCTTATCTGCCTGCTTTCATGAGAATTCCATATTGTACTCCTAGTCATTCTATGGAAGAAATCCCCACTCGCGCGCCATAATATGCTACAGGACTACAGGACTACGAAGGACTGGGTAGATACCGGTCGTATGCAATGTCACTATGCAATAGACTTTTGCATACCGGGCTTGGAGTACTTGGTAGATGGATAGAGAAGATGGAAGGCTTCTATTGTAGACAAGGTCGATACCGATAATCCTGATGGATATACTCTGTATATGTGTAACAGCAAATGCTAGGTATCAGACCAATTCTCATGGGAAAATGAAATTTTATATTACATGCGACATTATCCGTTCATCTATTTATTCCTAGTCGGTAGGTACCCAGATAGCTCGAGCACAATTGCATAACATAACCACCCAATTCAACTGGTGAACCTTACCTTACCTTACCTTACCGAGCTTACCTAACCTCAGCACTTTTTGGCTTACGGTTCAATACCTTACCTCCCTCGCGGGTGACAGGAAAAATGGCACACACAAATTCGTAATTCTCATTCAATGGAACAACACCTCTCTTTCAATTGATTCAACACCACCACTTTTTATATTTATAATAAGAATAATATGGTAGTTTTATTAATTCGATATCAGAGATTAATTCTATATAAGTTTTATGATTCTAAGTGCAATATTCGTAGAATAATTCATTACGGAAGATCGACTCGCTTCCATTGACAGAGACTTTTAAATTCGCTATATTCAGAGCTTTAAGATTCAGTATAAGATAAAAAAATTAATATCGATGCTATATAGGGTACTGTTTTGAGTGATATAATTATATAATTGATATAAGGTAGTGTTGTGGTTCAATTCCCTCTGAAAGTGAGTTGTTTCGAGGGGGAAACCACTCTAAAAACCACCCTTTTGACCACCTTTTCACCACCCAGTGAGCTGTCCTTTCATTTTAATAACATCCCTAAGCCTCTGAGGCATAGTATCTACTAGTTTATTGATATGTTCAATAGTAACTTGCTCCCAACCCTCATTTATAAGCTCCCGCATGGTTGTATCGTCCCAATGGGCATGCCTCCGAACGACTTGTTTTGGGATTTGCCAGATATTTTCGATGATTGAGAGATCAGGACTATCATGACAGTTTTGATAGGTTTCTAAACTATGATCTCTCTTCCATTTCTTCACTATATTGTCCTTCTTGCCCCCATAGCCGTGTCCTGAATCACCATCTTCCTCGAGTACGAAATCCTTCGATACAGCTAACCATCGCTTTACCTCCCCATCCAATATAGTATCGACATAAACCTTATGGGACAACTTGCCATTCCGGTTCCCAGGAACATCGTAATATATAAGATTGCTCTTAAAGTTGTAGCCCACTGCCGCCCAGCAGTGTTGCTTATTGCGGTGTTCCTCCTTTTCTACCCCTCTGAGCTGAATACACTCAGGACAGAGCCTCTGGCCTAGCTTTCTAATGATCCTATACTTTCCCTCAGGCCCGAAACCCCAATGACACTCATCAGAGAACCTAACTCTTCTCCAATCCTCCGGATTAGGGTATTTAGCTAGCATATCGCGGGCAAATTGGAGTCTAGCGGCAGCTGTTCTCTGTGTAACCCATCCCTTGCAACAAGCTATACATTTTCGATATCCCATAGATCCCATAGCTCGTGCAATAGTCCTTCCGGATTGGTCTAATCCACATGCCTCTCCCAATTGCTTCCAATTGAGGGATCTAGCCTCAAAACCCTCCGTTTGGATCATGATCTCCATAGCACGTATATCGCGAGGAGTAAGGGTTTTTTTTGCTCCTCTAGTCTCTTTACGTACTGTAGAATCATGTAGACGCCTTGGATCGCGATCATGCCAATGTCGATATCCGGTGCGAGGTGCGACATTGTAGGCCCTGAATACTCGAGCTTTGAAAGTAGTGACAATTCCATCAGCTATTCCATCAAGCATAGCCTGGGTTTTAGCTTTAACAGGGGTTCTATTATGCTGTTGGGGATACGTTTTATCCTCATAGCGATCGCGGCGAGTTGATACCATTATGTTGTGATTTAATAATTAATTTTGAAGTTGTGGTAATTGACGTGAATTGAGGTTAAAAGGACACGTGTGCCATTTTTCGTGTCACTCGCGAGCCTCCTTACCTACCTATGTTAATCCCTTATGTTAATGCCTTTATACAACTTTATGGATTCTCCACCCATTTTCAGGGGAGTGTGCGCGAGAATCCCTTTCATTGGTTGATGCACATAGCAAGGTAAGACATATGAAGTCATCGTGCAGCTTCTTTCGTCAGAGTTCCTTTTTCAGGGTCCTTTTTGGGATTTGGTATATATTATTGGCGTAAATTGGAGAGAACCCTTTCGCGCCCGTTATCCCTCTTCTTATTAATTTGTGATTTTTTCTTCTGCTGTTTATGTGTATGTATGTATATATGCATGTATGTATTGATCGCATTGTATTGATTGTGTTGATTGTGTTGTATTGTTTGCAATTTTGCTATCAATCCTCGATCGGTCCCTCGAGAACGATAAATGTATTTGTCTATATGTACGCTGCCACTACGATAAACCGTCGTGGTAGAAGAAAATGTCCAGGTATCATGTAAACAACATATAATCCTACTAGGGAGGTAAGCTTCATGATTACTAATGCCAAAAGCAAAAGCAATATTTTCTTGGTTTCGACTTGCGATGCTCTCCCCCAAAGAGTGATGAGAAGATGCGAATGGAATCTGCAACAGATCATCGAAATGTAAATGTTATACATACAAACACAAACATAACACAACACAACACAATACCGGTACAATACAATATTACACAATACTGACCCGGCGACAAGCACAATACATACCGGTACCATACCAGAACTTCACTAGTCGCAGGCTAGTCCATAACTCCGTATTCGTCCCACCGCCCTATGAGGCTCTTTCAAGGGACACCTCTGTAGAAATGCGAAGCGTGTGATGGAAAAACATGCCATGTGGAAATTTACGATCCACAAAACGTTTCTACCCGCGCTCGTTATCACCGAATGTGGAATGGAATTTTCGATTCCTTTTTCCATCCGTCCGTCGCCAGTCAATACCTGAGAACGTTGCCAGATCCTTTCGTGGTGTGCCGGATATCCCCCTTGGGTCAGATTCGAGTTCAAGTGGTCATTGACACGCCATCATTGCTTCGCATGTGTGTGAAATCTCATATACCTGGTCGGGAGAGGGAAAGTATTCATGTTGCCATCACTACGCATGCTTGGCATATGTATGTTGTTCTTTCGATAAACCCTATGTGCTTGCTGACAATTGAGATTTGAAGACGTGAAACACAGGGGGATTGATGAAGTGTGAGTGCGTTGGTGTTGGTGTTGAGTACTTATGGAGTAGTCGAGTTGGAGTAGTCGAGTAGTAGAGTACATAGTAGCAAAGTACCTAGGTAGCAGATAAATGAGCACATCGAGCTGTTGAAGAATTACTTCCCTCGGAGGATTCAAACCATGCAAAGGATCGATGGGAAATAGATGAAGCT